TTCTTACATGCTGCACCCGGTTCTCCCCCACTTAGGGTTCGAACCATCACCAATTATCACACCACCAACCCACGACTATTTTTCACCAGCGAACTCGCACCCGCCCCCGGAAAGTGCTACGCAACGCCCGATAATTCCCCCTTAAGGAAATCAATCAACCCCCTATACTCTGAACCTCTGATGAACTCCTCAAGAACTTCTCATCACGACTGCCTCTAATCGTTCCAAATCTCATACCAATCCAACACTAAGCATCTCAACTGCTCAATAACATCCCTGTCTCATAGACTGCACCGCAAAATCATCGTTCCTCTCACCTCAACTCATCAACCAATGTTCCAACACCGGAATTGTCCCAAGGACAGGGACCCACTCCCAACATAGATGAAAACTCTCTGCACTGCAAAACTCAACTGAACTCCCCACTACTACCACTATAACACAACCTACTATTCTCAATTAGGTGTGGTGTGGTCCTCGACTACCTCAGTCCCAACTGACTGTCTGCTCCCGATAAGTCACTGCCTCGCGGCACACATGCCACCTCATACTCTGGGGAAAATCATCACCGATACGACCTGTAGGGTGTACCCCCAAACCCAAAACTGAAACATCGGGCCTCCCGTGTCTTGCACACGGACAAAAATAACACCACCCACCTAGAAGATGACCTCTCCTCTATCGACTGATTGCTCAACTCAGACCGAAATTTTTCCTCTTCCTTTAACTCCTTACCAAAATACTCTGATAGGCACTCGCCTTTCCTCTCGAGGGACGCCTCTCCATACTCAATCATGGTATACAGGCCTAAAACCCATAGCGTCCGATCTCTACCTCATCGATCATGACCGGATAATAAGATAATCACAAGCATCATTCACTACGAACCATGGTACTCACCCCATGACATCCCTTCTCAATCTGCTCCGGTGTATGGTACCCGAACCATAGCATCACTCCTCAATCTGCTCCGATGTATGGTACTCGAACCATAACATCACTCCTCAATCTGTTCCAATGTATGGTACTCGAACCATAACATCACTCCTCAATCTGTTCCGATGTATGGTACTCGAACCATAACATCACTCCTCAATCTGCTCCGATGTATGGTACTCGAACCATAGCATCACTTCTCAATCTGCTCTGATGTATGGTACTCGAACCATAGCATCACTTCTCAATCTGCTCTGATGTATGGTACTCGAACCATAACATCACTCCTCAATCTGCTCCGATGTATGGTACTCGAACCATAGCATCACTTCTCAATCTGCTCCGATGTATGGTACTCGAACCATAGCATCACTTCTCAATCCGTTCCTTAGGACCTTCAGAATGTTCCCTGTATCAAGTATGGGTCCTCTACTTTCAGTAGTACGGGCCCATACTACCTGCCACATCTACCCATACCTTCCACACGGACCATCCCAGAGCTCCTAAGTAGCTGCACGACCTGCTCTTTCACCAATCCCATCGCACGTGCTTGCACCCCAGCGAAATCCTCTACTCTACCAGCGCACTCATCTGGATAGGGTTATACCCTAGGCTCTTCCGTCGTCCTCCCACTTCTTTGATATCAGCTGCTGAAGAGCTCCTAATGATGCCAGCCATCTACCTCCTGAATATCGTCATATTCACTTGGTAGCTGACTCCCATCATCGAGAGTTCCACAAAGCACAAAGCAAGCAGCATTCGAGCATCGAAGAATACATAGGACTCCCTCCCTGTGATAACTCCAACTTCTCAGCTCATCCTCGAAAGTACCACCGAACTCTGTAACTCTACCCCTCATGGGTTCTAACTGGATACTCTCACTCATCACATACTCGAAACATAACACATATAACAACGAGTCCTAGGCTAAGGCATCACAAATCAGGCCACTCTAGTCCTAACATATGAAATACCTAGCCTTTCTCTAGCATGCAATAATATCTCATAAAGTGCATCATACATATCTCATAACACAAAAATAAGGGTATTTTGGGGAATCACCGTCCGGGCTCTGGCTGATTGTACACACTGCTCTTTCTTGCTTTCTCTTTGAACTCTTATTCACTTTTAGAAAACTATTTATTTGAAAACTTTTTCTTACTTCCTCAGTTTGAGTCCAGATTTACCCGAAGGCGCATCCGAATCCCTCAAACCAAGGCTCTGATACCAATTTGTAACACCGTAAATTCAAGGCAAAATTTTTCATTTAAAATAATCATTTTATTAGAACACTTGTTTAAAATCTCATTCATAATTGAATTACAAAACATAGTTCATTTTCACTTGAATAGAAAACCAGGATCCTCCAAAACATAACTCTTTCTCTGGTGTGTACAATCGAGCCGGTGCCGTCCCGTGTTACTGAATGGACCTGAAAACAACATAACACAAAACACTGTAAGCACGAAGCTTAGTGAGTTACCCAATATACAACTTACGCATATATGCCTTTCCAGGCCCTGACCTTCCGGTCCACAACACAACGCCTTCCGGCCCATGAGATAATCGCCTTCCGGCCCATAACATATTGCCTTCCGGCCCATGAAACATACACAACACATAATACGTTTAACTTGCCACATATAGCACATATATCATATAACAAATCTGACCTTCCGGTCACATAACATATTGCCTTCCGGCTCATACAAACATACATAGCACGCATAGCAAATACCTTACCATTTATAGCACGTATAACACATATCATATCCGACCTTCCGGTCACACAGTCAAACCCTTCCGGGTACAGTATAGTGAGAAGACTCACCTCGCGGATACTGAAAGTTAGCAACTCCTGAAATCCCTCGTACTTGATTCGCCGAGCTACAAGCTCCCTATAACATCATATATCTCTTGTTAATACTTTTATCTTCCACGTTAACTGACCCTAAGAAATCACACACAGGTCAACTCTGGTCAACAGTCCACGGTCAACTCGACCGGACTCGGCGAGTACCCTGGCGACTCGGCGAGTCTAGTCGTCCTCCAATCCTCTAAGTTTTCCCTTCTACTCGTCGAGTATCCTCCTTGACCCGACGAGTTACTCCTGGAAGAATTACGGGGCCACCCCGACTCCACTCGCCGAGTCTGAGGAACAACTCGACGAGTCCCATTTATTCTTCAAGCTACTCGCCGAGTCTGCTCATTTGACTCGGCGAGTCCATGCCATGCAGTCGATCAAACTGCTTCCTGAGATCAGTATTGTCCCGACCATTCATAGGTTTGGCCTTCCTAGACTGATCCATTATGTATGGTCCTCATTTCGGTGCTCATGCTACACCCCAAGTCTTATAATTCACATGTTGACCTAAGGCATAAGGATTTCAATCCAAAACCTTCACCAATTCCCGAGATGCACAGACATGGGGGTATTCTGGACCTCCAAGGGTCCTAATACAGGGTTACAATCGTTTGGGGAACAAGGGTAACATTCAATCTATCCATAAAAGGGTTCCATAAACCCTAATCCTCAAAATACATCACCATAGCAGAGTATACACGAATTCTTACCTGGATAATGTGTTCTCTGTGTCCCCAATCCTCAGAATGTGACCCCCTTGCTGTTCCTTAGCCAAACCCTTCTCTTCTTTGCACAACAACTCCTTCAAAATCACCAATGGCCTTTAATCTTGATCTAGATGCACACAATTGATTTAGGGTTCTTCTCAGAAGGCTAAAACGAACAATGAAGGCCAATAAGTCCCCTTTATACGTCCCAAACCTAAACGGCTAGGGTTTTTGCTAAACAGCGCAGACTCGCCAAGTCCCTATCTGACTCGTCGAGTCCAGTCGCGAACCCGCGACCAGGTCTGCGATCCTACTCGGCGAGTCTAGCTCCAACTCGCCGAGTCCCCCCTTAAAACACCCCATAAATATAATTTCAACAATACTTGAGATTCCGGGCTGTTACAACAAAGACTTATGAGCATAATCGAATTATGGTAATAAGTGGTGGAGTCTTTGACAAGTGATCAGAGAGCTGTGATTACTTACCGAGCTGACATCTACAAGGTGAGTTATCCTCACTATACTAAGGGGTCGAAGGCACCAAGGTCGGCCCATCAGATTTGATATCCTAGTAGCCATTGATATGTTGAGTTGAGTTAGTAATGTATGCCAGTTGATATGCTAGTCGTGTAGATCTGTAGGACTGCATGTGATACTGATTGATTACTTGTATGTGCATTTATCTGTTACATCTCGACATGTTATGTGGGGTGGGTTGAGGTTGTGTTGCTCCGTGCGGTAGCCAACAAACCCGAGAGTATTCCAGATATGAGCTGAGGGCCCGATAGGTATTCCATACTCATACTGAGGACTCGAGAGCATTCTAAATACGAGCTGAGGGCCCAGTAGGCATTCCAGACTCATACTGAGGGCTCGATGGCATTCCAGATACGAGTTGAGGGCCCGGTAGGCATTCCAGACTCATACTAAGGGCCTAGGGGTAGTCCAGCTTGTAAAGCTGTGGACCCAGTTCATGCTGTTCTGTTTTGATTGGTATGATATGCTAATGTTGATATCGTTATGGGAACTGTATGTGTATCGGTATTTTGGGGTAACTCACTAAGCTTTCGGGCTTACAGTTTCAGTTTATTGTTTCAGGTAAATCAGGGGATCGCGGGAAGGCCAAGGCGTGATCGTACAGCTCCTCCTATTATGTTATTTTTGGGGACAAGACTCTGATAAACAATGTTTTGAAAACAAAGTTGTAATATTTGATGAACTTGATATGTTTTTAAAAGTTTAAATTTGTTTGAAATTTTGGATGTTACAGATTTCCCCTTTTGCAAACACAAACAACCACTCAATTTCTTCTTTCTTTTTTTATAAAAAATAATTCAACTTTATTATATTCATTTTTATTTTTCCATAGATCTCTTCTTACAGGAGGGGCGAAAGGTGGAATCCATTCAACACATTGTTATGGAGTTCAATTGAGTTATTATTCACATTAGGACAAATTATTGTTGTCATTGTTGTCTTATCTATTTCACAACATGAAAACCCATGAAACCCTTTGTTTGCTTGGGTTATTGGTTATGCCGCCGGGTGTGCTGCATGTCTGCCCCTACTATACTGGCGGTATCTTCATGGGAATCAAGCTTCTGGGCAGCAGTAACCTCAGGTTGGGCAGCCACATTTAGAAAGGAACACTCCACCAGAACCAAATTCTTACATAACAATCTCATTTGCTCCCTATTCAGAAGAGCAAACTCGTCAGAGTACTACTACTACTACAACATCTTCAGATGTTTGGAATTGTTTAAATGTTGTGGGTTCAAATGCCAGGTAATTTACAACTTTTCTGTCAACTGCTATATGGTTATTAGTCTGTCTTTTAAAATGATTTTCCCCTTGCAGGGTTAATATGCTAGTGGACCATTTCAAGATGGCTGTGGATTGATTCTTTGTTGTATGGTTTGTAGTTGGCAATGTTTGGATCTTTGGAGAGCAGTCATCTTCACTTGATGCTCCCAATTTGTACAGGTGCTACTCTTTATTCTTAAATGACCATTTTACCCTTCTATCTAAAAATGGTATTTTTCAAAATTATATATTCACGTCGGAAAGAAATAAAAGCTTCTTCTTATGTGTGTGTGAAAAAAGAGGTTAAACAATTTTTTTATGTGTGCAGTCTTTTAAAAATAAATGTTATTTTTCAAAATTATATATTCATGCAGATACAATGGTCAAAAGGTCTACAAAACCAAACACCACCTTACATAGTATTTAATTACTAGTCAACCCATAATATGCTAATTACTATGATTAGGAAACCATGATTTTGATTCCTTTGGACATTTTTCCTTTCGTGTTTTGTTTACTATAAATGCGAAATACAATGGTATATTCATGCAGCCTTTTAAAAATAAATGTTATTTTTCAAAATTGTATATTCGTGCACATATAGGTCTAAAAATACAAGAGAAATTAAATATCCTCCTACATTTTATTACTATTTATCTTCCTACCCTATCAAATGTTGACTTGTATCATATTTAATGACACATTTAATGAAATTAATAATATTTTAATCCATTTGTCACCATTTAATATGGATAAAAAAAACTATTATTTTGATTCCTTTTAGACATTTTTGTGTTTTGTTTACTATAAACTAGGTGGGGAACCCCCGCGTTACGGGGGTTGGATGCGACAGATCTTTCAGCAAAATTGAAATATGAACAAAATAACTTTACATTTTAAGAATGAATTTTAAAAAAAATTAAATTCCTATTTTTTACATATTCATTTTCACTATAGAATGTAAAACGTTTGTTCTTTTTTATATATATTTGTTTTAAAAAATAAAAATTGCACTTTAAGACGGATTTGAACACAAAATGACCGGGAAACTGAAACTATTCTCAGCACATATCCACAAAAAATATGGGTACTGACATAAAACGACCTAAAGACGGATTTGAACACAAACACATAAACAGATGATCATTTTTACCAAAAATCACGTAAATTTACTATTCCTAAAAAATGTTCTCCTTTAATATATATATATATATATATATATATATATATATATATATATATATATATATATATATATATATATATATATATATATATATATATATATATATATGTGTGTGTGTGTGTAAGAATGCGAAATACAATTCAAACCCTACTTCTCTCAACTTTATATAATTATACGAACCTCTCAACCAATTTTATGGTCCTTTGCTAAAATTAAAAGCATGGTCTTTGAGAGTGTCTTTTTCAACATTTCTGTAAAGAACACCCTAAAGAAAAAGGAAAGTGAAAATGTCCGAAAGAAGCCACCGATCTTGTCTTTTCATTTCAAGCTTTTATATCGAAATCTTATAGTCAAGTCCGGACAAATAGTCACTAGTCGTCATACCACCTAATGCCCATATCGTACCATCACAATAATTCACAATAATTCACAATAATTAAAAGTAAATAAGTGTAGTATAAATAAACGAGACCAAATTTATAAAAGAGTCAAGATGTGTAAAACATTTATTTATCAAGTAAATTATAAACAAACCAATACAATCTTAGTTTATTTGAAAAGATTATAGATAAATCCAAATGGTTCGTTGAGTTACTTCAAACAAAAGGTAAAATGAAAGAAAAAACAAATTACAAGTTATTTTTTATTTATAAAATCCCATTCCCCTCCATAAAATCTCACCATCATCCACCCCACGCACACAGTAACCCACCTTCTACACACACACAGACAAATGAAGATGGACAAAAGAGTCAAATTTAATATCTGCTGCTTCTTGTTCGTATTACTATCATCCATCTTCGTAAGTTCTTCACATTTGGCTTCTTCTTCTTCTACTTCTTCTTCGATTAACTTGTCTTTTACCTTAATTTGTTTGCTCTTACTCATTTAATTCATGCATGCAGGTTTCCATAGTCGAGGCAACCCCTCCTGTTGCGAACTTGAGTAAATCAAATCCTTTTTCCCCTAAATCTTCTATAACTCGTTACTGGAAAACCCAGATCTCCAATCGTTTTCCGATCCCTTCTTTTCTCCTTTCCAAAGCTTCACCACTCTCACCTTTCGAATTCTCATTATTCACAAAATTAGCTTCCAACCACTCTCTTTCATCTCATCTTTCTTCCTTCTGCTCCTCCGCCGACTTATTCTGTTTCTCCGATCCCACCTCCATTAATTCCAGTCGTCTAAAAGACACCAACTTTGCTGTTTACAACTCCAAACGTTTCTCCACCTACGGCTCCTCCCAAATTGGCGGCGCCGACACTTTCAAAAACTACTCGGAAAACATTAATTTTGCATCCAGTGGTTTCGCCAGATACAGCGGCATATCCACCGGCCACCATGAAGGATTCACCTCCTACGCGACTGACGCCAACGTCGCTAACTCAAACTTCACCAGCTACGCCACCGATGCCACCGGAGGTAATGGCGATTTCACCTCTTATATGCCACGTGTCAATGTGCCTGATCTCCGGTTTGCATCCTACTCAGCCAACGGAAACAACCATGCTATGTCGTTCAAGAGCTACGTCGACGACACAAACTCCGGGAACCAGCAGTTCATGAACTACGGTAAAAATGGGAACGGAGTTCCGGTGGGGTTCACCGGATATGGTGACACGTCGAATGTAATCGGGTCCACTTTTTCGCACTATGCTGATCTGGCAAACGGTGCGAATGATACTTTCAAGGCGTATTCATCAAATGCAAATAACCCAAAAAACGATTTTAAAGCATATGGTGGTAATAGTGGAAATGCCGGGTCGGATTCTTTTGTGAGTTACCGAGATGGAGCGAACTCGGGTACAGACACATTTCTGTCATACAGTAGAAAATCAAATTCGGGCAAAACAAATTTTGTAAATTATGGAAAATCATTCAACCCGGGTGTCGATTCGTTTAGAGAATACGGTAAAGGATCCACGGGTCAATCTACGGGTTTTAGTATCTATGCTTTGAATACCACATTCAAAGACTATACCAAAACTGGTGTCACATTTGGTCAATACACAAAACCCGGGTTGAAAACGGGTACTACCAAGGTCAGTGGCAGTTCGGTAAATAAATGGCCGGAGCCAGTTAAATTCTTTCGGGAGAAAATGTTAAAGAAAGGGACTGTTATGACAATGCCCGACATTGTTGACAAAATGCCTAAACGGTCGTTTTTGCCCCGTGCCATCACGTCGAAATTACCGTTTGCTACTGACAAACTATCTGGTGTGAAGGAAGTTTTCCAGGCTCGGGACAGTTCTATTCTGGAGCGTGTTTTAACCAATACGCTGTCAGAATGTGAGCGGGCCCCGAGCCAGGGTGAGACCAAACAATGTGTTGGATCGATTGAAGACATGATCGATTTCGCGGTTTCGGTTTTGGGTCATGATGTTGTGGCAAGGACGACAGAGAATGTTAGAGGGTCAAAAAAAGAGGTGATGATTGGAGAAGTCAAAGGGGTCAACGGTGGGAGGCTCACTAAGTCAGTGTCATGCCATCAAAGCTTGTATCCATACCTTCTCTATTATTGTCACTCTGTCCCGAAAGTGAGAGTCTATGTGGCTGATATACTTGACGTGTACAATAAGGTAAAAATTAATACTGGTGTTGCAATATGTCATATTGATACGTCAGCATGGAGCCCGGGTCATGGAGCATTTGTGGCACTTGGGTCGGGTCCGGGTCTCATTGAAGTCTGCCATTGGATATTTGAGAATGACATGACGTGGACCACATTGGATTGAAGATGAACACGTGTGTTTGCTTTATCATTCATAAAGTCATAGTAATGTTGTTGTCATGAGATTTTAGAAATTTTGATTGTTGTGTAACCTGGTGTTATTGTAATGGTTTTGAAATATTTATAAAACAGATATTGTTCGTTAGATAGATGTCCATAAATAAAATAATGAACACCCATACTTTATTGTAAAGAATATTTTATTTTAATGACTAACAAATGTGATGAAATGTAAATGTACTGATAACATGGACTAACACGTGATATGAAATCAAAATATAGATATGAAATCAAAATATAGAGAGAACACTTTAAAGTCATAGAGGATATGTTAATTAAGATTATATTATATAGATAGTACACAAAATAAATAAAATAAAACAAAATAAGCTAAATAAAACGAGTGATATGAGTTGAAAGTCGCTTATAATTAAATTTAATATATAATTCATTAAAGAAATAAGATCTGTTCCTTTTTGAGTTTTGACCCATAGTTGAGAATATCCAATTCAATTTTAATTTTTACATGTCGATGTATAAAAGTAATCATTTGTATAGTTGTAGGATGACCGAAGATGGAGTGGAAAGAGGGGAAAATTTGATGTAGAAAGAAAGATGAAGGAATAGAAGTATAATCACTCTCAACAGGTGCTACCTTTATATCCCATCTCATCTATGTGGCCCTATAGAACTCGCTTCTCAGATTTCTACCTAATTTTTTTAGCTTTTTCATTTTGGTATTTTTAGCATGTTTACATATAATTGATCAGTAATCAACATTTATTTATAAATTACATTTGATTTTTTGTTTGCCCAACTCTTTTTTGCTTTGATTTTATGATTCACATGTGTATACAAAGTGTCCCAAAATCTTACCTTCTGTCGTATGCTTTTTGATTCTACCTTTTGTTACAATTCTCATTTATGCGTGCTTGAAGTAGGACATTAGAAGCTATGAGAAATGAAATGATGGGTGCGATTGCGTGCTGGGAAAGAAGCATACATCGGCAGGATAAAAATGATTTAGAGTTGTCCTTTTGTGGTCACGCATGCTAAACAAGTGGTACATTGTATCCACTTTCATCCACTAAACTTGATCTTTATTTTAACACATTCATATGTACCCCATGTTCCATTTGCGTCCACAGGAATGAAGGATTGATGTAATTTAGTTGTTTTCATTAATTATTAGGATTAGGTAGGAAGAAAATGCAATTGGTGTGGAATAGAGATTTACATAAAACTTATAGGACTAATTATAGGGACCCAAATTAAAGTGTTGATATCTCTAAAAATCATGTATGTTTCTTTGCTTCAAATTAGTTGATTTGTTACTTGTCCCCTCTCACTTATTTGAAATGTTTTGAAAGTATTAGCTATATGGTTTGTTTGCTTTATGGTAAGGGTGACAATTGTTGATACGATACGATAAAAATGCACGACAAGAAACGAAATTGAGACGAAATTGAAATTCGAATTCGTGTTCATGTTAAGTGTAAAAAACACGATGTCGTGCCGTGTCGTGTTCGTGTTTAAATTTTGACACGAAATTACACGATTTAACATTTATTTGTTGTGTTTTCGTATTTATTGTGTTTTTCTTGTTATGTATAATTAAATATTGAGAAATTAAATATCCTCGTACATTTTCTTCCTACATATCTTCCTACCAATATGAAATGATGATATGTGTTATATTTTGATAAACTTAATTATATTTTTGAACACTTGTCAACATTTCAACTAGATAGGAAGATAATTAGAAAAAAAAGTAGGGGGATATTTAATTTCTCTTAAATATTAATTAAATATACTATTTTTTTATTATGTTGTTTTTGCCGTGTGATGTCGTGTTTGTCGTTTTTTAATCGGTTCTTTTTCGTGTTAGTTAAAAAAACACGATATCGTGTCGTGTCGTGTCAGACAAAAACATGACACGATGATCCGATTTACCACCCCTACTATATGGCATATATGTTCATGGCATGAAAATGATGTCTGGGATATATTTTAGTATGAAAAATGTTGTATGATTTGGAAATATGATTTTGAAGTATCTTTACTAGTGTATTGCATATAGGATGGGTGTTGAAAGTCCTCATGACTGACTTATATTACAAGTAAATGGTGAAATTCCCGTTATACGGATCCAATATTCTGGTTTGAAGCAAAAGCTTTGTGATAGGCTTTACAACCCATTCCATAGAAGACATGTTTAGTGGTCATGTGTCTATCTTAAATTTTGTAAAGAGGATAGTGGGTAGCCATCGACAACGGTATAAGCGGGTGGCTTATTTGAAATCTGCCAGACCATTGAACCCAAAATTGTAAGGGACTCTCTATAGAGTAGTGGACTTGGTTTGGGTTAATTGCATATGCATTTGTATTGTTTCTTTTATGAATTTATACTAATTCAATACTTTTACCACTAGTTTGTTGAAATGATTATTAGAGATGGAATTTAACCATCCACTAATTAGATAACAAGTTCAAGAAGGACTATAGAGCATTAGAAACATAAGAATAAATAAAGTATAGTGACTTAAAAATGTAATATATTTTTGGATTTGTACACATTTGGTCATTGAGTTTTTTCCGTTCATCTTACTCATTCAACTTGTTAAATTGTACACATTCAGTCATTATGACTGGTTACTCCAGGTTAGCCGGGAAAAATAACTTAATTGGATAATATATTTTTCATTTTATACACATTTAGTGTAACATACGGACTCCCAGGTATCTTATGTTATGCATTTATATTGAGTTTTAGAGGGAGACTCGGTGAGTAGGCGCTCAGACTCGCCGAGTAGGATCGCGGATGGTCGGACTGATTGAATGGCGGACTCAGCGAGTCCATTCGTGGACTCGGCAAGTCCACGTTGTTTAATGAAACCCTAATCTTCGGGGTTTGAGACCTATTTAAAGGGGCTTGTAGCCACCATTTGCGGCTACCAGACCCTTGAGAGAAACCCTTATAGTGCTTGAGCGTTTGTGAGAGAGAAGAAGCCATTATTGGACCTTTGTGGGTTTGTTTTGCAAGAAGAAGTTGATTCCAGCTTGGAGGAGGCCAATGAGGTTGCATATTTGTGGATTTCAAGCAGAGGGCATCATTTTTGAGGTAGCATATCGACCCTCTTTCTGTTTTGTTAAAGCATCCATGGATCTAGGGTTTCCTATGCCCTTTATTGGGTTGATCTGTTGAGAATAAGGTCCCTTATCATGTTTAGACTTCAGATCTGGACCCATAGTGGTCCAGAGGAGGTTATCCATCTTGCTTTATGTTGGGTTATGGAAGAAATGAACTTAGAAGTTTTGTATTTGGGACTAATTCATTAAGTAGTATCAGTTGGACGTTGCATGAGTATCAAGTTCGAACCTTTACGTGTTTATTGAGCTTGGGGAGGTTAGATCTTTGGATTAGAGGAGCAGATCTGACCTCAGAAGGTCAATTGAGTTTGAGCATGGCTTGAACTCACCGAGTCCAAGAACAGACTCGGCGAGTAGGATGGGCTTTCCCCATAAAACACACAGATGGTAACTCGCTGAGTTGGGGAAGTGACTCAGTGAGTCACTTGGGATTTTGAGGACGTGAGTTCATGACTTAACTCGCCGAGCCACAATAGTGCACTCGATGAGTCTGGTCAAAGGGTTGACCGTTGACTTTTAGGGTTTGGTTAACTTTAGAGTATTTGAGCCTTAAGAGGGGTAAAATGGTCTTTTACCCTCCTGAGAGTGCTAAGAGAGGGAATGATCTAGCCTTGGGAAATGTGTTGATGTTGAGTGTTTATTTTCATATGATTAGGCAGAGGCTAGATCCTATTTCACGGAGACCGAGATTTCCGAGTTACTGAGTTACACGAGGTGAGTCTTCTCACTATATGTTACCTATAGTGGTATTATCAGTTGACCGGAAGGTCTTATGTGCTATGTATGAGATTGTGTGCCATGTATGAGATTATGTGTTATGTGATGTATGTAGGATATATAATTGTATAGACCGGAACGGAGGGTCCAACGATTCAGACCGGGCCAGAGGGCCCAACGAGCTATGACCGGACCAGAGGGTCCAACGAGCTACGGGACCAGAGGGTCCCACTGAGACACATCGGCCGGAGGGTCGTACAGCAGCCTCGAGTGGCATATGTGTTGTATGTGGTATTTTGGGGAACTCACTAAGCACTTATGCTTACAGTTGTTGTGTTATGTGTTTCAGGTACTAGCGAGGACCGTGGGAAGGCGCCGGCATGAACCGTACACACCGAGAGGAAATTTGATTTGTGATCTTAGGACATGTTTGATTTAATAACTATTGTGAAATACTTTTGAGAATGTTTTATATTTAAAATATGGTTGTTGAAAAATGAAAATTTTATTTTGAAAATCTCGTCGTTACATTTAGTTTTTAATATTTTTTGTATACAGTTAATCCTTAATACTTTGTTTTTTTGTTTTAAAACAAGTCTTCTTTGTTTTTGTACTCATTCAGTACTTATGAATGATTTCTTTAGGCTGTTTATGTTTATGTCTATCGCGATCTCGACTGCTTGGTTGCATAGGCCTTGTGGTTTGGCGTAGGTCTTGTGTTCTGAATGTCGTACCTTCTTCATACGATATCATATTTTAACGATCTTTATATTCATGTGTTCGTTTTTTGAGTCTACTACAACTTTCGTTAAGATCATTCTCGTTAAAATGTAATATATTTTTACTTATAATTTTATATAAAAAAAAAACAACATGCATACATGCATTCATAAAATGAATGGATATAAAAATCGTAAGTAAAAATATATTGTTTTTTAACGGGGGTAATCTAATTGAATGTTGTAATAGACTAAAATACGAACGCATGAATATAAAGATCGTTAGAATCTGATATCGTATGAAGAAGTTATGACGTTCAAAATGCATGATCTAAACAACAAAATAGTCGAGATCATGATGGACATAAACATGAAAAGACCCAAACACCTCATTAATGAATGTCTTACGTAAGATGTCGTGATAAAAACCTAAAAGAATCATTTATAAGTACAGTACAAAAATAAAAATGACTTATTTTGCAACAAAAAAAATATTATGGACTAAATGTGTATAAAAATATTAAGGACTAAATGTGTACAAAGTGAGAAATATATTACCCTGTTAAGTCATTTTTACCGACTAGTCTGGAGTAGCGAATCATAAGGATTGAATGTGTATAGTTTAAAATGTTGAAAGGGTAAATGTGGATGAAAAAAAAACTCATTACCAAATGTGTACAAATCGAAAAATATATTACCTTTTAAAGTTATTAACCAATAAATAAATAAATACTTATGATACTTAAAATCATATATGAGAAATATTAGGGTTGAACCCCCAAAACCATCATCAAAACTCCAAACAAACATCTATGACGGAAATTGTTGCTTGGAGAATGATCAAGGAAGGTGATGAATGCTATAAACTCAACTAATTATATGGTTAACATGGAGAATTTTAGACTTAGAGGATTACCTCAGACCTTATTCTAGCTTATGAAATGAAGAGATAAGAGAAGAATTATACCATATGGGGCTAAAGAACTTGACTTGATCTTTGCCAATTATACTTTAGATCTTCATCTTCATTTACCAAGAGATGAGAAAAAATCGCAATGGGGAAAGTTCTCCGTTGCTGACCACCATTTAGTAGAAATTTATCTAGTAATTTGTATATTTACAATATAAGCCCTTCCTTAGCAATAATAAATAAGTCATATTTCAAGTTAATCAAATCAAATCTTGGTAACACTAGATTTTTATCTAAATTTTCAGTTTAGCCCTAGTTTAATATTTTAACTCAACGAGATAATAAGTTATTTTTAATAATTAAATAAATAAATATTATATATTCAAAATCATTATTTTAATCTTTTAATTTATTTTAATTATTTTTCTAAAAATTTATTTTTCACTAAAATTGATAGAATTCTAGGCCCCATAAGATGATGTTACAATAAATTTAAGTCTATATATTCACCTGTATTCACTAGATTTTATAATATAATAAATTCTATAAAGCATATTCCTCCACACCATAATTTTAATCTTGTTAGGCATAAATTTATTCCACTGTGTAAGACTATTAACGACATCAAGAAAAACATCATTAATATGATGGTTGTGTTGAGCTAACAAAACGGACTTACGAACGTCTAGCTCCCACATACATCACAACAATTACGCACAAAGAGAATGCACTTTAAATTATACAGGCACATTTATATTTTCTACCTTACTAGTTTACACTTAAGCACATAGAGATTATACTACCAACTCTATTCTATTAGTTCTATATTCTAACATAAGCTTCCACATACATCACAACAATTACGCACAAAGAGAATCTATCCTAAAATAAGCTCCCACATACATCACAACAATTACGCACAAAGAGAATGCACTTTAAATTATACAGGCACATTTATATTTTCTACCTTACTAGTTTACACTTAAGCACATAGAGATTATACTACCAGCTCTACTCTATTAGTTCTCTATACATACATACATACACAAACATACACATACATACATACATACATACATACATACATACATATATATATATATATATATATATATATATATATATATATATATATATATATATATGTTGTCATATATGGTATAGTGAGATAACTCATATGGACAATTACTCTGACGATTGGTAGCTATCTGGGTGATCATAATGACAATCTAACTGGCAGGTGATGTGTCTATCTAGTATTAACCTATAATACTATGAACTAGTAATTCCTATGACAATTTGGTAATGAAAGCTAGATCTTTCTGAAATCCAACAATCAAGCCAACATTATCATTTTAAACACCTCTCACATAAGTAGATCAATTGGTATTACAACTGTAATTACTGATAAATTCTATTTATATATATCCATAACTACGACTATGAATATAAATATAAGTTACACTTAAAGTATAGCTTAACTTATAGGGATCCTAACGAAAACTATGAAGATCGCAGGCAAATCTTCGATATCGAGCACTTCTATTTGCCCGACTTTACTACCTCAGAGCTTCGCTAAAGAGGAGTTTCTCAAACTCCCAAAAATACCCCAAAGGTCGGATTTGGGAGAGATGAGAGAGTTTGTAGTGAGGGTGGTGTGAGAAATGAAAGAGACCGAACACTTCTATTTATAGTAAGGGTGTATGTCGTGCACCACAGATGAACATCGTGCATCTTTTCGGGGCTGATGACGTGGCTTTAGTCAGAGGGTGACACGTGACAAAAACTTGGTGGGTTGCGTCGGGCTGTCGTTGTGCGCGGCACAGTGCTTGTGTAAGCGTGCGGTTTTCTAATTTTTGAAAATTTCGTAACTTCATCATATGAGCTCCAATTTTAACGTTCTTTATATCTATACGCAGCTATCGACGAGATCTCTAACTTTTGTTTAGACTCCGGTGGCTAATTCTCACTTTATTTTAAAGCTTTATATTTATTAGACTTAAATTGTTAAAGCTCGTATAAAAATCATAACTCTCTCATGCAATATCCGTTCTCGACTATCTTTATATTGATGGATAGGTATTGACGAGATATTCAATTCTCGTTTAGATTGTTTTTCTCAACAATCGACCGATCCTAATTTAAGTTTATGTGTCACACACTGCTACACTGCAACTTCTAAAAATCATAATTTCCATTTATGAAGTTTGATTTTGACGTTCCCTATATACATGCTCTCGGTTTTGTGATTACCACGATTTTCATCACGACCCTTTATCCTTACATAGTCTTCTATAAAAACGTTTATTTACGCGACTAATCGTTTATACTATAAGACGAAAAAGAAGTGTTACAGCCTCACAATAAACAATCACACTCCAATAACTTTTCGCCATATAGTATAGAAAACTCAGTCTCTCCGTAACCATGAATATTTTTAATAACTTGAACCCATAATGAATTAAAGTCATTATCAAACGTCATCGTCATTTTTACTATAGCACATCGTTAAAAGCGAACAAACCACCCACCCCTAGACCACCCCTTTTCCTTTGGAGGTGATACGTCCTAGTTAACCGAACTCAATTTTCTTTTTATTATCTCAGTTGCTAAAAAAAATGAGATCTAATAGCTTCCAAACTACAATAAACTATTTTAGACAATTGACATAAAATATATGCCTAAGCTAGCTAAAATATATTATACAACGTAAGATGACCCCAATGAAAATATTTTTTTAGTTTCCATTTGGCGAATCCTTTTCTAAAACGATCTATGGCCATCTTCCAACTTTTCACCCGACACATATCGGATCCAACCTCAAGACCAAGATATGTAAAGAGAAAAGAATGAGAGCTACAACACCAAATAAATTCAACTTTTGTATGTTGATCTTCAACACAAAATCCCAATACAAAACAACCAATAATCCGAACTAGATCTTTTACGTTATTACCATCTCACTTGCCCAAGAAAATCATGTCATCCACGTAAAAAGGACGAAAAGCATCTTAAAGGGATTTACTAAAAAACCAAAAAGTGATATTTTCTTAAACTTTTAAAAAGGGGTTTCAAACTTTTTATAAAAATTAAATATTTAAACAAAATAGGTTTTTATTATAAGATCGGTTCAAATTGCTTTTTTAAGACCAATTCTAGACTCAAACAAGAACCATTCAAGATCAACAAAAGGCCGACGTATACCAAAATATAGGAATCAACCTGAGACCGATCTAGATCAAACTAAGATTGAATTGTCCTAGACAATTATAATATTAAACTACTCCTAAACTATTCATATGTGTCCACAATGAAACATGAACCCTTGACCTCAAAGAGGGAGAGCAACAACGGATACCGATAGGTAGAAGGCATTTGTTGTCCTAAAATGCTCTAGTCTCGTTTTTTTCCTAAACTGAGACTAGCTCACATGCAACTTATTATCCAACAAGTCTATTTGACAAGTATAAGCATTTCTTATTTTGTTTTTTTTAAGCACATTATTTGGAAAGATTGTTAAGTTTAGGCCATACATACTTTACTTTATGCTTTTAGAAAAATATGACATTTAACTTGATATGTGCAGCAAACACACCGACAAAAAAGGAAAAACATAATTTTTCAATAACAAATGTCTTCAACACAGAAAACCTTTTCCATGCCTAAAAAAACTTTTTACATGAGTATCCTTACAAATCATATTTACATGTAACCTAATCGATCTATTTACAATTTTTTCTAACAAAAAGAAATAAAAGATGTACATTTTGTACAATGACTCTTCTTTTCTTTCATGGAAAGGTAACATTGGATATATTTCTCTCGACAACAATGATGTCGATGTCAACTTTTTCGTTCCGAATCTGATACTGAGGCTGATACTGTAATACCTCATTTACGTGTATATACACTATCTGGTATAGCAACAACTAAAAGAATGGTGTCTGATTACAAGATTGCTAATTCTTCTATTATGCATTGGAAGCAGATGGAGGCATTTCAACCTCATTAGGTGGTTCTTCTTCCTCATCCCAATTGGTTGTTTTGTTGTACTTTACATATAATCCAACTTGAATCATTCCCGAAATTGCCCCCAAAACATTAGGAACCTATAATTAATTTGTACAAAAATGAAAAACAAGATCATCAAAAGGGTAAAAAGTGAAAATATATTCACAAGTAACGTTTAGTTATAATTTTTTACCATGATGTAAGGATCGAAATCAAGGGCAGCGTAAACGATCCAAATAGACCCGTTTAAAAGATTGCCAATCGACAAAAAAATCGGCATGTACTTGACACTCTTTGTCTTGATCACGGTTTTCTGTTTAACCAATTTTTGTTTTTATCACTTATGGAAAAAATAAAAGAAAATTTCGTTTAATACAAAATTAAATAATTGTAAACTATACATAAAGTCCCAAAACATAAATAACATATCACACGAATATTACATTAACTATAATCATAATTACTTACCACAACTGTTAGTGGAGATGCATACATAACAATATTCATGATGACACACAATATGCCTACAAGCATAGATCTCGCAGGGTGTGTGTGTTCTAATGTCAAAGCAACAGTTACCATTCCTGCTATAAAAATCGCCTCCAAAATGAAAACAATAATCATCTTTTTCTGCATTATATTTACACAGATCGAATTTAACGTCAGAAGTAGTATGTTTTTTTTTTTTTTTTTTTTTTGTGACTTTTATGAAAATTGAAAATACACCAATAGAAAGAATTACATTTACATACACGAATAGGCCATGCTGAATAACGGAAAAAGATGGAGCAGAAGGTGACGTTAATTAATACACCAGCACTGTTAACTGTGACAATGAGAAGACTATGTGGATGAACAACGGGGAGGCCATAGAAGATCCACATTACACAACTTAAAAGAGTCGCAAGATATGGATCTGGCTTGAATGCTTTTACAGATTTAAATTTCACAATTTTTACAAACGTTGGTCTGCAATGAAAAAAGAAATTATTTTGTGCAAAATTTTAGATGTGTTAAAGTATAAGGACTAAAGTAGAGCATTTATGAAATTTGGGGGAAAAAATGGAAAACCCATGGTGTGCCGTGTGCATGATTGAATCTAGAATATACTTTAATTTTCACTCAATTTAAGTACTTACGTTGGAGAAAGATATAGATATAGTGAAATGACATTTCCTGCATAAATTTTTTTTTTTTAAAAAAAAATAGTAATAATTAGAGATGCATGTAAAATGAATAAAGAAAAAAAGTCGTATTTATGTCATTGTCATTATGTGATTTTAATAACTTTACTATTTTTAATCTTAAATGATTTAGTTATTTCGCCGTTTCTTTTAAATGACATTATATTATTCATATAGCAGAACCATTGACTAAATAGATTCATGTGCATTTTTGACGTAATTCTAAAATTGTATATCTTTATTATTATTCTCGAAAGATGAATCTATTCATTTAGTGTCGCGTCATTTTTAATAAAAATGGTATTTTAAAGTTACGCCAATAAAAGGATAAATGTACACGAGTACTCAATAAATTATTCTGTTAGATTCTGAGCATTTATACTACTATTGAAATTTCCGAAGTATGGTGAATAAAATTGTTTAACATCAGAAGATATTGAAATAAATAAATAAATAAATAAATAAATAAATAAAAAACTATGAAGATTCTAACATAAACTTTTGCCAATAAAAAAGATCATACGAACGTCTAAAGTAGAAAAGTTTTGATTTGCATTAAATATATAAAAAAAAAATTGTAATTTTCATGAGAGAGAAGATGTACAAACCGACGATCCCAACGATGAATCTTATGGTTTTGTTGTCCATTTGTTGTTATCGATGTAGCAAAACCAGAAGTGGCGATGATAAATCAAATAAATGTATATATATATTTTTTATATGTTTATATATACATAAATAAATTTCAAACAAAACAAATTACTAAAATGGAGATGAAGGCTTTGGGATTGAAAAAATTGGATTGAGCCTTTAAGAGATGAAATCTATATAATAAGAGGCGATTTACAGGGTCTTGAATCCCCTTATGTGTTAGTGTAGGCGCATTCTTGAAATTGGGATACTTAAAAGAATGTGTTGTGTGTTTGTATGGATGGGATGAATGCAATTTTTGTCCATAAATGTATCTATTTTTGGCATGTCAATTTTGGTCAACCTCGTATTTCTGAATTGACAGAGTAAGATATATATCCGGGAATATGGGATTAAAAGATACAAGAATATGATTAAATTGTGTTGTTGCTAAACTAAGAAAGAAAGTTTAGATGTTTAGAATGCGAAATCTGTTAAAAGAACTCCCAATGAATATTCTTATTGATTAGAGAGAGCACAGTGGGCTACATAAAATGGGCCTATCTTGGGCTACATATAATACTATACACCAACATCCTTAGGTGAATGAAAACATTTAAACATAATTGCACGTAATTGGTAGATGATGTTAAATAAAATGTGGTGTTTGTTTTCCATTTTCAAAATTTGAATGTAATTAAATTTAAATTAACCGAAGTGACATGTGATAATAAAATTAGGCAAGAAGTCACCTTCAAATATGAAATTATATACCGATCCATCTAACTTCAATTCTTGAGTAAACTTCACTCTTCCACATCATTTTCTCCCAAAATAATTTATTTAAAATTAAGTACCACATCATACTATTTATAGAAATTACTCAGTAAATTTGGTTTATAGTTAACTAATCAGTTGTTAAGTCACCAATAATAGACAACGAAAAAAAAAACACTCCATGATCAAAGCTTATTAATACTTTCATGAGTGCATTGATTACTTAAAAAATAGATCTAAATTATCAATGATTATCTTCTTTACTTAACAAGAAATTGGTGTTCATTGGTCAGCATCTCAACATCAACTATAATTGCTTTCATATAATACATGTAAATTTATCAAAAAAAAATTGTATTGCTCACCAAACTTCTCTTCAGTCGATCTTCCCCTTCTTCACATCCATGCCCCCAAACTCTTTTTTTTCCCTCATAAACTACAATCAAGATTCAATATGGTGCTAGAAATTGTGACTTCTATGGTGTTATTGTTTGTGGGTATTGCTGTTTTGGTCATAATTCATGTATGTTTAGCTGGGAGGAGATCAGGGATGAATCAAGAAAGCATTGGGAGTACTACTTTGGTGCAAAGGAGTAGTATCATGTCAAAAGATGATATAAAGAATCTGTCATGGTATGAATGTCAAGAAGATGTAGAAAAAGGAGTTGAGTGTGTTGTGTGTTTGGAGGGTTTTAAGGGTGGTGATAAGTGTAGATTGTTGCCAAATTGTAGGCATACTTTTCATGCAAATTGTATTGATTCATGGCTCATTAAGACTGCTGCTTGTCCAGTTTGTAGGACTTGTGTTGATTTGGGGGGAAATTGTGGAGGAAAAAATTGAATAAATTTATTGGTGATGTTTCTTTAGAGTTGACTTAGAAATGAAGTGGGTCAAACCCCTTAGCGAAAATACTACGTTGAGAGTGGTTATTTGTCACATGATCATGGTTCATGAGCTACCTTTAAAAGTATGTTGAGTATGATATGTTTAATGTGGTTGTAAAGGAAGCTAGTTCAAGCTTGAAAAAGATCTCGCATGTATCAATTACACAAATCTGTGTGTCCAAAATTGGAAAGAAAAGAATTCAAAAATAGTTAAATCAATGTGAGCATCACAACTAATATATGTGCATCATGTCCAAGTACTTATTATATGATGGTCACATTTCACCTTGTCAATGGCCGAAATATGATATAACTCGTAGATAATAACTTTTTCATATTATTTTATAAATAAAGTAATTTCGTTGAGAGGGTTTGTCCTACACTTAATGTATAACAACCATATATTTCATAATAACATTCTCATGACAAAGAATTGCTATGAACAATTAAAGTGATCACAATTCATTCAAAGATACTTAGACATAAAAACGAGAATATTAACTAGAATGAAGATTGTACTTGCTTTTAACACTTTAAAATCAAAACAAGTTTCACATTGTTCATGTTACAATTCGTATATTATTAACCTACTACTATACTACTCCCACACAAATAGAAAATTGATTCCTGTGCTACGCACATAACCTTTGTGTACAAGCTCGGAGAGAGATTTCATCACGATATTTGCAATATTATCGACAGATAAAATGACAATTATAACTTATTTCTTTTTGTCTATTTTGCTTGATTTTACATTGTTTTCTAACTTATATATAAAAATATATTATGAAAATTATAAAAACATTAGAATTTCGGAGAATTTCGGCGTTGGTGGCAGTGGTGGTGGGTAGTAGCGGTGGTGGCAGCGACAGTGATGGATGACGGTGATGGTGGCTACGACGGTGGTGATGGTGTTGGTGGTAGCAGCGGCAGCTGGTGGGGATGGTGGTAACAGCGATAGTGGTGGCGGGTAGTGTTATTAGTAGTGGTTGTGGTGGCAGCGGTGGTGGTGATGGCATTGGTAGTGGTGGTGGGTAATGGTCATGGTGGTGGTGGCGGCAATGGTGGCGGTGGTGGTGGGGAATGGTCGTGGTGGTGGTGGCGGCAATGTTGGCGATAGTGGTGGCGACGACAACGATGGTAACAACGATGATGGTAGTTGGTAGTGGCATCGCAAGCATTGACAGTGGGTGGCGGCGATAGTGGTGGTGACGGCAACGATGGTGGTGAGTGGTGGTCATGGCGGTGGTAGTGGTGGTCAGTGGCAGGGGAGGCGATGGCGGTGGCGAGAATAACGACGGTGATAGTGGTTGTAGCGGTAGCGGTGGTGGTGGTGGTGGTCAGTAGGGCGGCAGCGGTGGTGGTGATGGTGGCGGTTGTAGTGGCTGCTAGGCTTGACAATCGTATCGTATTCGGGTTGGCAGGTCAAAATATGTCAACCCAAACACGACCAATTTAAATATACAGGTCACGGTTTGGCGGGTCACGGGTTGACGGATTTGGAATATACACCCATATATGACCCGCCAACCTATTTATTTATACGAGTTCACAAGTTAGCAGGTTCGTGGGTCCGAATTTTAGAAATGAAAATTAAAAACATTCATAGATACATGTTACAGACTTAGCCTTATAGGTTACGACTTACGACCTTAGACCATCCACCACGAGTCAAAATATCAAAATAGTCAAATGGTCTATGAATCAATGGTATATATATATTATATAATACTTGTTAAATATTAATACTTGGTACATAAATACATTTAAAAATAAAATAATTTTTTTATTAAGAATATAAACGGATTGGCGGGCTAACCCATTTATTTTTTGAGAAACTCATATATGACCCATTTAATAAATGGGTTGGCGGGTTAAAAAACTCAACCCAAACCCATTTATTTCATATCGTGTCTCGGTTCGTGTCAAGAATTGTCAGCTCTAGTGGCGGCGGTGATAGTGGTAGCGGTTGTAGCGGTGGTGGTAGTGGTGGTGGTGGTAGCGGCGATGGTGGTAGTGGTCAGTGATAGTTGGTGGTAGTGGTGGTGTGTTTTCTGATAAGTACAATGGATATTTTTGTAATTTGTTACTTTCCTTGATGAGAATGAATGTTTTTCATCCAATTTTGAAAGGAATTCACTTTCATCCATTATGGTGGGAAGTTTATTTCATTTAAGAATCCTTTTCCCCTCTCTAAATCCAACCAAACGCATGAATTCAAAGGAATTGGAATCATTTTCCCTCGAATTCCATTCATTTCCTTGCAAGCATACGCATCCTATATATTTATCTTTAGGGTGCGTTTGGTACAAAGAAATACAATTGCAGCACATAATGGAAATGCAGAGAAATAGAATTGATTACACTGGTTGGTAGAACTGAGAATCCACTAGAAATATATTTTTGAGAATTTGTATATTAATTTATCACATTCCAATTTTGTATTTGTATTATTTTATTTTCCTAATGAATTATTATTAATTATTGTTTACATTTGTCAATTAACGCTTTATATATTATTTAATATAAACAAAAAATATTGACCTTAAAAACAAAACTTCTAGCAATTATCTAAGTAGCACGTCCTAGTCAGGTTCGAAGTCATGACTTGAAGCTGGGAATCAATTCTCCAGTTTTTTTTTTCTCTAATAGGCTATTCTCCCCATTTCTTTATAAAAAAAATGATAGAATGGAAGTGGAATTCAATTTTTTCTCTTTTCTCTATATTTTAGTGCAAAACAAACAAAAGAAATGGAATCAGTTTCATTTCTCTTCTCTTATTTCCCCGTACCAAACACCTCCTTATATCAATTATTTCTCATGCATGAGAGACCATAAATCTGAGAATGTGTCTTTATTAACAGTTTATATACGAAAACCAATATTCAATTCTTTACAACTACTTATAATTATTTGTGAAATGGAATCAGTTTCATTTCTCTTCTCTTATTTCTCTATACCAAACACCTCCTTATATCAATTATTTCTCATGCATGAGAGATGATAAATCTGAGAATGTGTCTTTATTAACAGTTTATATACAAAAACCAATATTCAATTCTTTACAACTACTTATAATTATTTACAAGTGGCGATTGGATCACTAGGGATTAACCACTCCAAAATTAAGTTGTTACTTTAGGTGGCATGTTGTTTAAAATAACAAGATAATGGCATTCTAGTCATTTTGCATGACTACATACAAAAATCTTAACAAAATTCAAACTTAAGGGCTATTTTGTAACAAAATGAAAACTTGAACTAAACCCACAAATTTTCCTCAACCAAAATTCAAACTTAAGGGCTATAAATATAATTAGTCATTTGACAAGGATCTAATGTATTTAAACTTAACCTCATGGGCCAACAACACTAAAACCCCTAAATAAGAGCCAATAAAAAGTTCCTATTTGGCCAAAAGCAAAGAAAAATTAACACCACTGGGACTATTTCTATAGTTCACTTAGATAACAAAAAAAATCTTCTTAATATTTATTAATACTTTCACGAGTATAATGATTATATTAAAAAAAACAGAAAAAGGTGGACCTAAATTATCAATAGTTATGTTCTTTATTTGACAAGAAACTGGTGTTCATTGATCTACATCTCAAAATCAACTCCAATTGCTCTCTCTGATTTAAATTGAGAATTAAGATCCAACATGGTGTCAGAAATCGTGACTTGTGTGATTTTAATGCTTGTGGGTATTGCTTTTTTGGTCATAGTTCTTGTATGTTTAGTTGAGAGAGGATCAGGGAACACTCAAGAAAGCGCCGAAAGAACTACTTTGATACAAAGAAGTAGTAACATGTCAGAAGATGATGTAAAGAATTTGCCATGGTATGATTATCAAGAAGATGTGGAAAAAGGAGTTGAGTGTGCTGTATGTTTGGAGGGTTTTAAGCCAGGTGATAAGTGTAGATTGTTGCCAAATTGTAGGCATACTTTTCATGCTAATTGTATTGATTCATGGCTCATTAAGACTGCTGTTTGTCCAGTTTGTAGGACTTATGTTGATACCATTAATGTTCAAAATTGAATTAGTAAAATTTCATTGGAACGATGAATTCGACTAACGGATTTTTATAACACAAAAGGAGCGACGAAATTTATGTTTAAGTCATAGATAAGATATCACCTTGATCGTGTTCAAAATCTTTAAACTCGTTGTCATCTACAAATATTAGCTTATTCATTCGTTGCTTTTATTTGCTATGTAGTTTCAGGCGTGATGAATTTGGGCAAATATAACTTATATAGATAATTAGGATTTACCTAGAGATGTCACAAATTTCAAACATTAATCTATGTAGCACATCTAAATGTCCACATTCAATTGATTATTACATAGAAATTTCAGAAGTTCTGAGGCATTAATGTACTAGGATTCGGAGAAATTCCGGTTGATTCGAATGGCGAAGAGCTAAAGACTTCCCAAGAATGATAGCATTCTTTAACGAATCTATGATTTGTTGTCCTCGAGTTAGCGGCGTCGTTTAGTATATTTGGCGACGTTTACAAACTATTCTTTAAGTTTTGGAGTAAATTATTCGATTAGTCTCTATGGTTTAGGATAATTTGCGCGTCTGGTTTTTAACTTACTTTTTTAACTCGGAAGGTTTCTACTGTTTGTTTTTGTTACGCGATTAGTCTCTGTCTTATCTAAAAAAACTATTTTGCCATTGATTTTTTAATTTATATAAATAAACACACCCAACCTCACATCTTCACATTATCTTACCTATCCCATCATTTTTTCCTATTTAAATAATAGTTTTTTAGGTAAAACATTGATGAAGTGCGTAACAAAAACAAACAGTATGAATCAAACGCATAACAAAAACAAATGTTAGGGACTTTCATATTAAAAAAATAAATTAGAGATCAAGCATATAAATTACCCAAACCAACCATGCGTGTAATTTCCTCTAAGTTTTGTGATAGTTACAAAATAGTCCCTAAAGAATATTTGCTTCATACTCTTTCTTCCATTTGTTTCTTTTCCTTGTTTCAAGATATTGTAGAATGTTTAGCTCTTTATACCACAAGGCCACGTGTGTTTGATCATCAGTGTTAAGAAAAAGGATATAAATGTCACTTAGTATAAATATACATTGTTATCCAATTTTGGAGTAATTTGTAAATGATCATTTCAATCAGGATCGGTCCTAAAAAATTAAATATCTTCAAATACTTAACACCAGCCACAAAAAATAGGTTCTTCTCGTTATTATAAGTTTTTTTATTTTTAAATAAAAATATATAATTAAAAAAATTGGATCTTATGCAGGCATGCACTTTGCCCTTCCTCAATATCCCCCATGATTTCAATTTCAATTTAGTTCGAATAGAATTATCCGGAGTAACCTTGTATTAAAATCTTGGAAAACACTTAAACCAGTATTTTACATCATGAAAATTCTTGTTTATGAGTTATTGACGTATAATTTCTACTCATACAATTTGGTTTAATTTTCTTCTAATTTTAAGAACCATAGACATGACTAAATTCATCAAAAACCCAACTTTTGGATTCTTTTTCCAATCATTTATTCTCTTACATGTCGATTTTAGAGATGAACAATTATAGAAAGAAAAAACTTAGATTTGATGATTTTGGTGTCACGGAATGATAATTAAATCAATGATAGATGAAAATAGGCTTAAAACATTTTGCAATACAACAGTATAGGTTTGAATGAATAATGTTTAATTTATATGTTAAGCATTTATTAGGAATGTTTCTAAGGTTTTTGTTAACATTTTGATACAATAATGCATCTGAATTACATATATGTTTAGGAGCTCATTTAAAAAAAATGTTGTTGTTAGGTTATTCAGTGCTTTTTTCTTGATTGTCTATAGTGATAAGTTGATAATTGATAGATTAAGTGTGTGAAAATAACCAAAAAAAAACATATTTTGGGAAAATATTTGCATGAAGAAAACATGAAAATGTTTTTGCTGAAATATTGTACACCTAAATGGGTTGATATAGGGTTCCAAAAGAAATGTAAGAATATCGTGAATTTTATATTTACTAGTGTAATGTAAATATTGTAAAATCGGAGCTTTATAAATTTCCATTTACAAGGATGTGAGTTTAGGTATTTTTATGATAGTTAGATACATGTCACTATTTGTTTTTATGATAATGTGTTTATGGGAATTAAATACAAATAACTTAGCATGAAAATGGTATAGATCATGAATTTATATTTTAATATGCTAATCAATCATTTAACAAGTTTAGGTTTTGTAAATTGTTTGTGATTTAATGTGCAAGATCTTACGTGATTTAGTGTGCATCGGATTTAAATACTTAACAATTTTATGGATTTCGTGAATCACCTTGAAAATAATGGGTGATAGATTTGGGCCACATTTTATTGGCTTCAAGTCATTGAACATACTAGAAAGTCATACCATGAAAAGTGTCCATCGTCAATGTATGGTCTTGGTTAGGGGGCACGATGAAAGCTAGTGTATTTATTTAACATGCCTAATCCAACATAGCGATCCAGTTAGGTAGCTCACTTTGTGTATGTCATGATTCATGCTAGTGGAAATCCCCACATGCTATATAGATTTTGTCTTTGAGGTAAGATTAGTGGGGATGCGACTCTTACGAGATTTTAAGGAACATATTGTTGTTAACCAAACTAAAAGACACGCAAGGAAATCAACAAATAATATTGTGAATTATATGTCGATTAGTTGCGAATAATAAATTCAATTATTATTATTAAATTTACCAAGTTTCGTTCGAAACCAGATCTATCCTTCTCGATTAAATCTGATTATAAGAAAGGTAGAAGAAGACTATCCTGTTATTGGACGAATTAAACACAAGACAGAAAAGTAAAACCGACCTGTTGATTGCTGACTTGATCTTGAAGCAACTGCACGGATCAGATTCTTGTCCTTAAAGGTTTTTACTTCGCTTGTATTGGCTGTAAACAACAGAGTAAAACCCCAGGATTTAATGCAGCTAGATCGATATTCCAACAGCACTGAAAATCGACAAACACAAAGCGACTACTCGGAAACTAGAAGAAAAAACCGCAGAGAGGGAGAGCTTTCAGATTTTCGTGAGAATCATATGGCTCCTAGGGTGACAGCTTGCTCTCCAAGCAAGCCGTTTCCTGATCCTTCTAGAATACCCTGACTTGGCCTCCACGAAGTCAACGGCAGTCAACCATTTGACCGGATCGGTCAAAAATAAAAGCTCCTCAACGACCGATGCGTCGTGCGAAGTGCAAAGTGCGCCTAAATCGCGAACTCGCGGCGTCGGCTAGTGCTAGGCTAGGCTAGGCGCGCGCGTGGGCTTGGCCCATTCCTTTGATCCACTAAAGCTTTTGAAGGCTTACCAAGGGAATAGGCTTATAAACCCATAAAAGTTTTTTCCCCCCACCAATGTGGGATACAAAGGAAATTGCCAACTTGCAATTCCTTTATATATAAAGTTCCAACAATCCCCCACCAAGTTGGTAAGTTTCCTTTCACTCAGACAGATGATGTCACTTGGGTGTCACGAAGATTAAACCCTAGATTAATGAGAACAAACAAGAAGAGACCGATTCAATGATATCCTTATAGGTTTAAACCATGAACCTCAATGACCTCTCCAGTTTATCCCCACACACCACAAGTCATATTTGTGTTCTCCCTGAGCGCTATTATGGCCATGCGCTATAAATCCTTTTCATGACCCTTTAGAAGATAAACTACTAATCTTCACTTGAAGCGGCACCACCTCTAGATCATATATGCATAGTTTTACAACATCTTCGTTGCTTAGATGTCTCCAAAACTACGTTAAGAGTCGTAACTCAACCTCATTCTCGGCAACGACGCACTATCCTACCTCACATGGATCTATCATGAATGATAGTACCTTCTATCGTTAGTGATTTCGTTGTTACCCTTTAAACTTGAAAATTAGGAGCACTAATGTCAAGTTGGGTTTCCATCACTAAATGATTCTATTGTGGTTTTAGACCTATGACTCTCGTGGTAGATGTAACCAAATCTCTCGTCAGAGGTTTGGTAAACGGATCTGCCAAGTTCCTACTTGTCTTGACATAGAAAACCTTGACGGTACCACTTTCAATTAGTTGTCTCACAAAATTGTGACGCAGACCTACATGTCTTGACTTCCCATTATATACCGCATTATATACTTTAGACAGTGTGGCCTCACTGTCACAGTACATGGGTATTGAAGGCATCGGAATATCCCACAAACGTATATCCATAAGTAGATCTCGAATCCACTCTGCCTCTTTGCCTGTTGCTGCTAAGGCAATTAGCTCAGCTTCCATCATTAAATGAGCTATGCATGTCTGTTTCTTGCTCGCCCAAGAAATAGCACCACCAGCTAGAGTATAAATCCAACCACTTGTGGATTTTGAATCACTGGTGTGATCAATCCAACTGGCATCAGAATAACCTTCAAGTATTCCATTAGATGATGAATATGTCAATTCAAAAGTACTTGTCCTTTTCAGGTATCCTAGTACTCTACCCACTGCTTTCCAGTGCTCCATCCTTGGATTAACTGTATACTGACTCAACTTGCTTACAGCGAATGCGATGTCAGGTCGCGTGCAGTGAGTAGCATACATCATGCTCCCAACTGCACTAGCATATTCTAGTTGGGCCACAGCTCGACCAGAATTCACCTTAAGTTTCACACTTGAATTAAAAGGAGTGTTAAATTCCTTAATGTTCAAATGTTGAAACTTTGTTAGAATTTTCTCTATGTAATGAGATTGACTCAGAGAAATCTGACCACCTGTCCTCTTCACCTTGATACCAAGAATAGTATCTACTTCTCCAAGATCTTTCATCTTAAAGTTCGAGGATAGGTATTTCTTCGTCTCAAGAATACCTTCTAGGTGAGTGCCAATGATCAACATATCATCAACATAAAGACATATAACTACTATGTAATCAGATGTATGTTTAGAGTAAATACATCTGTCAGCACTATTGTGCTGAAAACCAAAGGCAGTCACAGTGGTGTCAAATCTCCCA